TAAATCAAAGAAGTGAAAGATAGGCAGACAAATCGAGATGTAAAGAAAGTGTCTGAGATTTGAAACTGAGTCATCCACCACCAAAAGAGTAGCCAAAACAGAGTATCAAAGCAGGAACCAAGAGAAGATCAAAGTAGGGTCAAGACTAGGTGCCAACCACCTGCCTTCATAAGAATGATAAAAGGATGTGAGTGTGTAAAGGAACTGTCCCATGATATTTGAAACAGGTGAGCAAGAAAGTGGAAGGACAGGCAGAAACCCCTGAGAAACTCATTAGGTTGCAGCAAAGGGTGTGTGACGGACCAAAGCAAAGGGATGGTACCAGAAGAAAATCACTCCAAAGGTCAATAATGGCTAGTCCTCAGAGAGGAAGAACCTTGAATGTTAACGAGAGGACAAGAAAAAGAAACAAAAAAACACCTGATCCTAAAGGCAAGAAACCAAAGTGAGAAAAGATAAGTGCTAATAAGCTACATCGGCTCAAAATGCAAGAACAGAAGAAATATCTAAAAAAAAAAAACTACATCACAAAGAAAAAGTGCAAGACAAAGGGAGAGAAGATTGAGGTAGGTCAATGTCAGCTAGGAAGACAACCTAATGAAGTACATGCCAGAAACAAAGAAATTAAATTAACTGGGACAAAATGGAAGACGATTGAGAGCAAGTTGGAAAATAGGTATGTGTGTTTTGCTTCAACAAAACTGAAAAGGTGGTGATGTAAAACTTTGAAAAGAAGGAAAAGTTTTAAAAATAAAAAAAATTGAGTAAGAGTCCCAAAAGTACATATTTTAGTAAAATAAAACAAACTAAAGATAATGCAAATAAAAAATACTAACTGAAAAGTTTAAAATGTGGTATTATTCAAAAAATTAAGGAAAAAAAGACTACTATAAGAACAGAAGTTTAAAACAATAAGCACAATAATTCTGTTAATTCTTAAAAGAAAACGTCTAAATACAAGCATTACCTCATTGAGTCTTTGTTCAAATGCTAATGCTCATGGGGATTACTGTGCATGTAGGACGTGTCACCCTCCTTTTCGTGAAGGGCTACACTCTAATGATGATCAAATCATAGCTTGGCACGATACACATTGAAACATATAGGAATGGAGATTTGTTTAAGGCATGCACAGGAACTTGTACAGAGATGCACATGAGCTAATAACTTTTTCTAATGTGTAACTTTCTGAAAAATACTGATATATCTAAAGGTTGTAATTCTTTCAGAGAAAACTAAAATTAACTGCTACCTAAACTGTTTCATGTATATTTATCCTAATTATTTCTTTAATAAAGCAAGATTAGGCCCAAATATTCAGACTCAGTAACATTAATAATTATCCACATTACTCAAAGCAGAAATTCATAACTTATTTCAAACCTTAAAGGAGATTTGAACTTTGATGAATATTTGAAGAGAAGGAAATAAAAAATGTCACTTTGCTAAGCATACCAGACTTCTGCCACCTGATGAATGCTTGAGGAAGATGAAGTGTGACATTGACAAAATATCCTTGAGTCTCACAGTCTTGAGGAGTTTGGTATCTGAAGTGTACAGGAATCTGAATCTTCATGGTATTTTTGTTCAAAGGTATAAATTCATACACCATCAGTTCAGGAGAAGTCCTTGCTGGTTTTTCTACATCAACAGTTGAACTCACAAACACCTAAAAGGGAAACAAGTTCCTGCTGTAACACTTGTTAGTCTGTTCCGAGACAAACAATCTTGAATTATTAACAACCTATTGAAGTAGCTAGTGAATCACTTCAGCTTAACTCTTTCAGCACAGGCTCAATCCCTGGGACCGATCTCATAACCATTTTGTGCTTGTTCTAGTTTACATGCTATAACTTTTAAATTAGTAAACATGTGTTAACAAAATTTGGTAGATTATCAGTAAACATTACAATGCTTTCATACACAAAATATCAATTTTTTTATTAAGTCTTAAGGTTTGTAAAGTAATGTCTTTCTCATGCCTTTTTTCTTTTCACATGTTGCCTATCTAACATTCAAAGTAATTTAGATTTTAAGATAAAAAATATTTTATGCATCAAAAAATTTTCAAATTTCACTTGTAAAATCTTTATAATGTCCAAATAGTTATCAAATGTTTCTTAGGAAAAAACTTATTTTATGTTATTTTCACTAACAAATCTCTGTATGGGTTTGGTAGATTTGACCGATTTCATAACCACCATAAAAAATTAGGAAATAAATATAAATTATTCCTTTTTCATTCTAGAATGAACACAAATTATAACACGAAAACATAACATTTATACAAAATAGCTTAAATCTTATAACATTATACATTTATATATATTTCTTATATTGACCATTCAGACATGCCTGGCTAAAAATACAGAAGTTACAACAACACGGCTCACATGCACTCATGTTACCATATCAAATAACATAAAACTAACACTTGGTCTGTACAAAGTAGCTTGTCTTGGCTGTGTTATAGTCAACTAGTATTTTGTAAAATACAGTCACATTTCAATTATTATATATGTATATAGATTATTGCTATTTTGAAATAAGTTCTTAAATTAATTTTTCTTAAAATATTGAACAGTAAATAAAGAAGTAAAGCAAACAATTATCTCTTCTAGTTACAATTTTTGTACTTGGTTGCTCCTTGACATAGGTTGCTAAGCCTTTAAAAATTTTGCATGTGGAGGATATTATAAGTTTTGCATAATTCAGCTACACAGATTTCGAAAATAATATTAATTTTTATATATCATGTAAGGATTTTTTACAAATCAGGAAGAAAAAAACTCTTACTTAGACCAGATCTTTATAAAAGAGAGACTACATGAAAGAAACATCTAACATACAAAACTTTGGAGGGGAAGGGGAGCAAAAATTGCTGAGTATAGATCAAACTGACAATAAAATAAGATAAACTTATAACTTGCTTTAGTGCCAGTTATAGGTGTAATGGGTTTCATCACATAAAAGTAATTAACAGGAAATCTATTAATTCATCAGATTCAACTTTTTGTTGTTTTTTTGACAAAAATCTCACTTTTTCAATCCAAAATTTCCATAGTTTAATTCTAAATCTACAAACATGTAATCTCCATTTTCAAAATTAAATTGGAAATTAAAAGCTGCAAAAGGGAGATTAATTAGTGCAAGGACAGGTAATGTACAAAGTAAAGATTCATTTGTGAAAGGACTGTAATGTACAAAGTAAAGATTCATTTGTGAAAGGGCTGTAATGTACAAAGTAAAGATTCATTTGTGAAAGGGCTGTAATGTACAAAGTAAAGATTCATTTGTGAAAGGACTGTAACGTACAAAGTAAAGATTAATTTGTGAAAGGACTGTAATGTACAAAGTAAAGATTCATTTGTGAAAGGACTGTAACGTACAAAGTAAAGATTAATTTGTGAGAGGACTATAATGTACAAAGTAGATTAATTTGTGAAAGGACTATAATGTACAAAGTAAAGATTAATTTGTGAAAGGACTGTAACGTACAAAATAAAGATTAATTTGTGAAAGGACTATAATGTACAAAGTAAAGATTAATTTGTGATAGGACTGTAATGTACAAAGTAAAGATTAATTTGTGAAATGACTGTAATATACAAAGTAAAGATTCATTTGTGAGAGGACTATAATGCACAAAGTAGATTAATTTGTGAAAGGACTATAATGCACAAAGTAAAGATTAATTTGTGATAGGACTGTAATGTACAAAGTAAAGATTAATTTGTGAAAGGACTGTAACGTACAAAATAAAGATTAATTTGTTAGAGGACTATAATGCACAAAGTAAAGATTCATTTGTGAAAGGACTGTAATGTACAAAGTAAAGATTAATTTCTGAAAGGACTGTAACGTATAAAATAAAGATTAATTTGTGAAAGGACTATAATGTACAAAGTAAAGATTAATTTGTGATAGGACTGTAATGTACAAAGTAAAGATTAATTTGTGAAATGACTGTAATATACAAAGTAAAGATTCATTTGTGAAAGGACTATAACATACAAAGTAAAGATTAATTTGTGAGAGGACTATAATGCACAAAGTAGATTCATTTGTGAAAGGACTATAATGCACAAAGTAAAGATTCATTTGTGAAAGGACTGTAACGTACAAAGTAAAGATTAATTTGTGAAAGGACTGTAATGCACAAAGTAAAGATTAATTTGTGAAAGGACTGTAATGTACAAAGTAAAGATTCATTTGTAAATGGACTGTAATGTACAAAGTAAACATTCATTTGTGAAAGGACTGTAATGTACAAAGTAAAGATTAATTTGTGAAAGGACTATAATGTACAAAGTAAAGATTAATCTGTGAAAGGACTATAATGTACAAAGTAAAGATTAATTTGTAAAAGGACTATAATGTACAAAGTAAAGATTAATTTGTGAAAGGACTATAATGTACAAAGTAAAGATTCATTTGTGAAAGGGCAGCCCTTTCACAAATGAATCTTTACTTTGTACATTATAGTCCTTTCACAAATTAATCTTTACTTTGTACATTATAGTCCTTTCACAAATGAATCTTTACTTTGTACATTATAGTCCTTTCACAAATTAATCTTTACTTTGTACAATACAGTCCTTTCACAAATGAATCTTTACTTTGTACATTATGGTCCTTTCACAAATTAATCTACTTTGTGCATTATAGTCCTCTCACAAATTAATCTTTATTTTGTACGTTACAGTCCTTTCACAAATGAATATTTACTTTGTACATTACAGAATACAGTCCTTTCACAAATGAATCTTTACTTTGTACATTACACAAATGAATATTTACTTTGTACAAAGGACTATAATGTACATACATTACAGCCCTTTCACAAATGAATCTTTACTTTGTACATTATAGTCCTTTCACAAATTAATCTTTACTTTGTACATTATAGTCCTTTCACAAATGAATATTTACTTTACAAATTAATCTTTACTTTGAAAGGACTGTATTGTACAAAGTAAAGATTCATTTGTAAAAGGACTATAATGTACAAAGTAAATATTCATTTGTGAAAGGACTATAATGTACAAAGTAAAGATTCATTTGTGAAAGGACTATAATGTACAAAGTAAAGATTCATTTGTGAAAGGACTGTAATGTACAAAGTAATGATTCATTTGTAAAAGGACTATAATGTACAAAGTAAATATTCATTTGTGAAAGGACTATAATGTACAAAGTAAAGATTAATTTGTGAAAGGACTATAATGTACAAAGTAAAGATTCATTTGTGAAAGGGCTGTAATGTATTATAATGTACAAAGTAAAGATTCATTTGTTAAAGGACTATAATGTACAAAGTAAAGATTCATTTGTGAAAGGACTATAATGTACAAAGTAAAGATTCATTTGTGAAAGGACTGTAATGTACAAAGTAAAGATTAATTTGTGAAAGGACTGTATTGTACAAAGTAAAGATTCATTTGTAAAAGGACTATAATGTACAAAGTAAATATTAATTTGTGAAAGGACTATAATGTACAAAGTAAAGATTAATTTGTGAAAGGACTGTAATGTACAAAGTAAAGATTAATTTGTTAGAGGACTATAATGTACAAAGTAAAGATTAATTTGTGAAAGGACTGTAATGTACAAAGTAAAGATTAATTTGTGAAAGGACTGTAATGTACAAAGTAAAGATTCATTTGTGAAAGGACTGTATTGTACAAAGTAAAGATTCATTTGTGAAAGGGCTGTAATGTACAAAGTAAAGATTAATTTGTGAGAGGACTATAATGCACAATATAAAGATTCATTTGTGAAAGGACTGTAACATACAAAGAAAGGCTGTTCAGTGTCAAGGGAAATTCATTCTTTACTGATTATGCTTTATATTTATTATTCGAGAAAAGATTCTTTTGATAAAGATTATTTTTTATACTGATTTCAAAATAAAAGTTTGTTCTTTCTGCATGTTCATTAGACTAGTAGAAGATAAACGTGAATGAAATACAAGTAGACTAGTAGAACATAAACATCAATGAAATAGAAGTACGACAGTTACATGAATCAGAATAAAAATTAACAATAAAGCCTCATACTGAATCAAACTCTCCTATTTAAGTAAATTACACAAAGTAAGCTTTCATCAGTTCTGATGGTCAGTGCTGCTAGTAACAAACCTCAGGATACCCAGACTCCTGGAGAAACCCAAGCTGATAGGGATCAACATATACACTCGATGGAAATGTTTCTATCAGAAGAAAATGTGTTCTACTCAGAACATCATCTTCATGAAGATCTGTACTGTTCCAGTGAAGTTCTGTCACCAAATTTCTGTAGAGAAAAGGAATTCATATATTTAAATACCATAAGAAAATTAAATTTGAAAATAATGCTTGCAATGATTTATTAACCAAGTCTGAATAACAACAGAAACATCCAGAAATTGTCACCAAATTTCTTTAGAGAAAAGTAATGCGTATATTTATAGGCAAGTAGTTAAATAAAAATCCTCAAAAAACCAGAAGAATATTTAATCTGAAAATAAGGCATGCACTGAACTATTAAACAAGTTGGAATAACAACAGACATCAGGCACAGGGTTCAGTGGTGTAAAGGATCATAGCCTTAATGTATAATTATAAAACCAGTCTTCACACATTAACAACTTTCAAAGTTAACAATTTGTCGTGATACAACACTTAGGATATCAGGTATTGATTCAACTATCTCTAACTTCTTATGACAGTTACTTACAAGATCTTTATATAATTAGTACTGAAAAATAACTTCAAAAATGGAATTGTGAGCCAACTTAAGCTTTGGGTTAACATGTTTGTGACTAAATACATATTCATGTATTTAATAAGTTGTAACATTTTAATGTTTTATGTTAACTGTTTTATACAAAATTATAAGTTATGATATTCCGTCTCAATGTAGTTTCAACAAACTAGTGGAAGTTAACATTTTTCCAATAGATACCTCTCTGCACCACAAAGAGCTATTACTTTACGTGCAATACCGTGTAACTTCCTGTGCATGCCACAAGCCATAAATAAAGCTCCCACTCCTACACAGGTCAATCTTTATTGCACCAGCCCATCATGTAATCATCATTAGATTATAGCCAATCAGTAATCATCATTAGATTATAGCCAATCAGTAATCATCATTAGATTATAGCCAATCAG